CTGTCTTCGCTCTTTTGCTTGGCTTTCCTTTCCTGGCATTTGCCAGCTCCTTGAATGGTGGGTCACATTGTGCAAGTGTCATCCTGGGGACACTGGCTCCCCATTGGGCCTGCTTCTGGTTCCCAGCAGTTTGCAGGGGCTACCATGGCGAGGGCAGGGTTTGTAAGGAGCTCCTGGTGGTTCAGCTAACAGCTCTTACCCCTTGTCTGCCAGGCACCCTGACCTTCTGGATCCCCTGAGCTTAGGGCACAAGGGGTGGCAGTAAGAATGACAGCGAAGGAGGATGAGAGTGGATGGTCTCATTCTCTGAGTGCTGGCACCTGTTTAACTCATTCTGAACCACATGTGCCATCAGCTAGGGCTTCTGAGGACTTAGAGAGGAGGGTGGTTTCCTCCTTGTGAGCTCTTTGTGTAGCAGTGGGTAGGGAAGGCTGGGCAAGATTCTTACCCTTGGTTTGTCTGCTTCAACAATATCTGGGGGCCCTGGGTGACCAGAAAATGGAATTTCCTCTCCTGACCACTGAGCAATCCTGTGTGGATGGAAAATGCCTGTGTCTTCTTGGCTATCTCCCCTCCCGTGCCAAGTTCCTGCCATCTGAGGGGGAGACAGAGTGGTGGGTGCTTGTTTTACAGCCTCTGGTAGGATAACCTGTTTCTCTTATCCTGTTGGTGGCAAGGAGGGAGGGAAGGGTTCAGGGGGACCTGCAGGGAGGAATGGACGTACTGTAGGTAGGGCAGTGAGCCCCCAGGGGCCAGGTGTGGTCGGTGTTCACAGCCAGCCAGGTAGCCTCCCCCAAGGACAAGGACGCAGGGTGGGCATGCTGGGATCCGTCTGTGCCTCGCTGCCTTCTCTCTGTCTCTGATTCTCTAATCACGGAGCACATTCTGACTCTCCCAGGTAGTGTGCTGAGCAGCCTGGCAGAGTAGGAGGAGCCCAGAGGGCAGTGGGGGCGTGCCCGGTGGCCTGGGGGGGTAACCTGCACTCTCTGCCCTTTTTCCAGGTGTGGGTTGGGAGCAGCAGCGGCCTGCCGCCCCTGGAATCTCTTCCTAGCGACCTGCCATCATGGGACTTTGCCCAGCCTGCTTTGTGGAGGTCGTCCCATTCGGTTCCTGACACCGCCTTTTCCCTTTCTCTAAAAAAATCATTCCCAGCCCTTGAAAACCTGGGCCCAGCACACTCCAGCAGCGCTCTCTTCTGCCCAGCCCCGCCAGGATATCTGAGGCAGGGCTGGACTGCCTCAGAGGGCAGCCGGGCCTTTACTCAGTGGCCTGTAGGCTAGCCTCGGCCTCCCCAGAGAGGGTTTTCTCTGGAGGGGAACGGGAATGGCGGTTGCTCTGAGACCCCTGCTTTTCGGAGAACCCAGCACAGTGATTCCTGCCCATGATGCCCAGCTCCTCCTTGTGTGACTTGGAGTCTTTCCCAGCTCAGGGACCCCAGGGGTAGTAAGGAGCTCCTTTCTGGATCCCCCTCATAGCCTCCAGGTTTCTTTCTGGGTTCTCTTGCCTTTTTCTCCCCCTTTAACAGATGGCACTGCTGAGTGCCTGCCTGTCCTTGCTGGGGTGATTTTAGAGTCTGGTGCTTTCCCAATAACTAAGTCACTGGTTTAGGTGTTTCCCCTCCCCTACAATGGCCTCCCCTAAGGTGTGGGGTTTCTAGAATGGGGCTTGGCTGCCCCTCTCCCCTACTCTAGGGGTGAATCCCCCTCCAGAGGAGAATGGACCAATTCCAAGTGGGTCAACTCATGCTGCCCTCTTCCCTTCCCACTCACACAGGTCCTGCTTTCATTTCTGGCTAGTGAGTTAGACTTTTGTGTTTTTGAGGTTTACTAGCAGGTCTGCTCAGGAACTAGACTAACCAGTAGCTTTATATTGGGTCACCCCAGTATATGGCTTTGGGGGCTGAGAAAGCAGATGTAGACACCTCCCCCCTCAGATCCCAGTGGTGTGCCCTTTAGCCCCCGCAGCCTCCGCGGGGATAACAGGAGTGATGATAAAAGTTTTCATTCTAACATTTGAGGCTTTGTGTGTTTTGTCCTTGGTCTCTGTCATAACACTGACATCATTGTCCCTTGGTGTACGTACAAGCCCGCTCCTGCCCTGCCCCTCCAACACACACTCTTACAGACCCGCTGGCCCCACCTCCAGCCCCTTAGCCAGAATGCCCCTCATGGTGACCCAGCAGGTGAAGACATGGTGGCTTTCATGCTCTGGGCCGGCCAGCTGCTGTGCCCGGACTTGGTTTAACAGCAGGGGCATCTGTTTTGCATCGTGTGTATTCTGAAAGCGTCAGAGGTGAAGAGATAGGCTCTCTGGGAGTTGGTTCCCTGGGCAAGAGCTGGGCGCGGGGTATACCTCTCCACCTCTCCTGATGCCATAGATGACAAAACAGGCCAGTTACAGAAACTGATGCCACAGCTTGCATGAAAAGGCCATTTGAATGTTGGGGCATGAAGCCTCAGGCTTGGCAGTGACACACAAATCTCTCTTAACTGGCTCAGATGCCTCAGGCATTGCTGGCTTAATGGTGCAGCGGGGCTGTGGCATTATCTCCATGTGGAGTTGGGCCTGAAGCCGAGAGACCAGAGCAACTCAAAACCTCTCCCATTGCTTCCAGTGGCCCCACTTCTCAGGGGCAAGTTGGGGTGGTTTGGGCTGGAGGATAGCTCATTAGAGAAGGAATGAATTGAAGTGGGAACAAGGGAGCTGGCACCCCCAAGAAGGGGGCCAGTGAGGACAATGGCACTAGGCCTCCATTTATTGCCCTTAGACTTTTCCAGGGCTATAAAAAAGACTGCTTAAGACCATGCCTCCATCCCTACCCCCAGGCTGCCAGACTTCAAAGGCCACCAAAGGTTGGATGTGCACTAAGTGTCCCTGATACCATTTGGGCCCCATTCCTGAGCTGCTCAACCCCTGGGAAGAAAAGCTTTAGGAATTCTGGGATGGGGAGAAACTGTCGGGGGAGTGAAGGGAGCATGACTAGGACTCTGTTGAGTGGTGATGACCAGAGGTGGCCCAAGCTCAGGGTGGCTGGGCCAGGACCCGGCAGGTGTGCTCCTAACAACAGGCTGCCTGTGCACAGGGCCGTGGGCAAGGTGCGGCCATTCCAAACATCAGTGGTGATCAGAGCATGCTATGCTGGCTCGCTCTTGTCCCATCAGGGACCCTCTGTCTTCTCCCTGTCTCTAGGATGGGAAATGTCTTTCTCCTGAGTGGCCCCAGTATAGAGATTCTAGGTGTCCCTTTCTTTGGGATCTGTCTCCCCTTTGGCCACTCTTTTGTGTCCTGTGCCCAGACTCTTTATGTTGTGTGTTGTCTGAACTTCGGGCAGGCCTAGACTCAGGCTTGTACACTTTGACAATTCCCCCCGAACCTTGGAGACTTGAGCCATGAAGGGTCAATTCTGGCACAGAGAAGCCAACAATCACTTCAGCTTGGCTTTGTAATACAGTGAAAGTTTTTGTTGTGTTTGTGCTTCCCCCCCCCCCAGCAGCAGATTTCTATTCCTAATTATGTTTGCTCAGGCCAAAGTTAGCTTTCATTCCTTGAGAGATAATCAATGGAGGAGGGGGGCGGGGAAAATCTGCCTGGTCTGGGATTTTAATTTTGCCTAGCTAATCCCTCAAATGGATAATCTACTTGTGGATAATTGAGGTTTGGCTGTCCATTATCTTTAGGTAGCACAGTGTGACAAGCAATGCTTTAAAGGACAGACCCCGAAAGGAGGTTGGCAAGAGAAACAAGGCATCGCTTTCACATCTCTCTAGTGGCGCTTTTCCCAGGGACCGCGGAAGATGGAATTCTGAATGTGTCTTTCACCGCACTTTCTTACACCTGGTCCATCTTTGGTTCCTTTGAGTTCTAAGGCGTAAACCACACTGCCTCTCGTTGTTGGGGAGCCGGTCCTCAAGTCACTGGTTGGCAAAGCTGGCTCTATCCCCAGATAAAAAGGCAGGTGCACCCCTCTCTCCTGGGGGTGTTTTTGGCAGCCGCTGCTCTGGTTTATAGGCCGGTGGGCTGGGAGGAAGATGGAATTTTCTCCCCACTGTCACCTATGATTGGATCATGAGGTCCCTGAGGTGGGGCCCACTTGGGGCCTTGAGACCAAGCACCCATCATGCTTCCTGAGTCACCTGAGTGCTCGAGTTTGTCTGCACAAATTCTGTCACCTCTCCCTTTCAGGGGAGTCCTGGCCACCCCGCACACTGCGTTAGAAAATATCAGTACCTTTCACTCTCCAGAAGCTATGGGTGCCAAGTCTGGAAATGGGAGGGGCACAGGCTCAGGGGCCAGTTCCTATTCCAGCAGTCCTATATCCCCTCAGGGCCTCTGTCTGGCCAGCTGTAAAGTGGGGAAGGGAGGGATACCTCAGGGAAGCTGGGAAGAAAGGACGGGTAGGGGACTGGGCTGGCAGTGGCAGTGCTTTGACTGCTGTTTCCTCTAGTAGTAGAGTCCTGTACTTCAGGCAAATCGCTGTCCACACTCAGCTTCCTCATTTGTCAAATGAATAAACTCAAGGCATAAAACAGTTACAGGTGGTATCTCGTTAGCATAAGGTGTTCTGTTCAAATGTGTTAACATTTACTTAAAAGCTAATGACCGAGAATGGTAAGGCCTGTCCTGATGTGCACAGACGTTTGGGACTGGAGTAGGAACAGAGGTGTCTTTAGCCTCCACGACATCGAATACATTGGTGTCTTCCTTTGATTACACAGTAAGGAGATAAACGTTTGTACCTGAGGTGATGGGGTTCAGACATTTACCTTGAGGTCTCGGGATCTCAGGCTATGCTTCTGTTAAACAGAGACGGCAGGAGCAGCTCCACTCTAGAGAGTTAATGGGGTGGCGGGTCTTCAGTGGGTTAATGGTCACTCTGTAATGCACTTAAAGGTGAATGTTGCTTTCTCTTGGGGTTCTAAAATAGTAAACACACACGTAGAAAAGGAGTCAGACTTGACATGAACCTCTAAAACATCTCCATGGAACCAAAACAGCTTGAAAGTCACCAGACTGTAACTCTCCCAAGGACTTCCCTGACATTCTGTGACCTCCAAGGCTGGGGTAACTGGGTGAGCCCCATATGAGGAAGGGCTCTTGGTGGGGAGAGGTCAGGGACTGAGACTGAGTCAGACCCTCGGGTACAGGAAATGCCTGGGGACCTGGGGCTGCCTCCCAGGATGCTGGTGCTGACCGTCAGCTTCTGGGTCATCCGCTCAGGGTCTTGCTAGGAGTTGGTGCTCACACCACAGCTTTCTATGGCTATCCTCCCCTGGAGGGTGATAACATGGCCTGCTTTGGAGGGCTGCTGTAAGGCTGGATTGCAGGAGATCAGTGTCTTGGAAAGGCTAATCGTGGTGCCTGCCTGGCACAGAATGCATGCTTTATCAATGTGGGGTGGTATCATTCTTGTCATTACCAGCTTTTCCCCAGCTTCATGTCCCACAAATGCTTCTGAATCATGCAGCCTTCCTTCTCTCTGCTCAATTCTCACATTAGCAGAATCGACTATCACTTTATGGGCTGCTTTCTCAATACAAGCCCACAAGAGTATTATAAGGAGTAATCTCTGTGCTTCGTCCTGCCTTTCCTTTCCATTTCCCCATGGCCAAGACTAATGTCACGTTTGAATAAAGTGGATAAATTGAATTCTTTGCATAAAGCAAGTAGAGAAAACTCAGGATGGAGAACAGGAAGACTGGTCTGTTCACATGCCAGTTTACTGCTGTAAATTCACTTATAGTCAGTGCAACTAAAGTCAGTTCTTCATGTTTAAGAATGAACAAATGCCTCATCTTTCTTTATTCTGTAAAGGAGTGTGGAACTTAATGTGCCAGGCTCTGGACATGTTGTGGTAGCCATCTGGAACCAATAATTCCAACTCAGGTGTCTCATGAGGAGGCATCATGGAAAATAAGAGCAGCTTACTTGCCATTCTGGGGAGAAAGCATGAGCCACATGTAAAGCTCTCTTTATTACAGGGAGTCTATGTGTTGGCCAGAAACCGTTTTTGTTTCCTGGTGTGCTTGGTGGGAAGTCAGGAATGTGATGCTAGTTTTCACCTCATCTCGTTTTCCTTTCTGCCCTCAGACCTGCAATGCTTCTTTTGCCACTCGAGACCGTCTGCGCTCCCACCTGGCTTGTCATGAAGACAAGGTGCCTTGTCAGGTGTGTGGGAAGTACTTGCGGGCAGCGTACATGGCAGACCACCTGAAGAAGCACAGTGAGGGGCCCAGCAACTTCTGCAGTATTTGTAATCGAGGTAATCTCCCTGCTGTTTCCTCATTTCCAGGGGATGGGCCTGAGCTTGTGTGGGAGGCCAGGGGTGTCCTGATCACCTTGCCTCAGACTCCACTCCTTGCACGGCTGGCCCTCCCTTCCCACTGAACGATAAACACCTTCGTTGCCCAGGCGGCTATTTGCCACCTCTTCCTTCCCAGACTTGGGGTGCTTGGGATAGGAGTTCCCAGGAGATCAGCGAGTGGGAACGGAAGGAGAGAGTACTGTTTCCAAGTCTGGGCTCATAACACATGTGCTGGGCAGATGGCAGGATGGATACATTTCGTAGACACCACTGAACTACTGAGGTTGGTGGGAGAGTCATTAAGCCCCAAGAAGTGGGGGAAAAAGAGGGTCCTGCTTGAGAGCTTTGGCTGGCTGATTTCACTGGCATGTGAAATTCAGCAACCAAGGAAGGAGGTTGAGTCTGGAGATGGACAAGGGGCAGAAAGTTTCTAACACAAATGGTCAGGAAAGAGCCCAAACCCAGGTGACTGTGGCCTGGATGAGACAGGAATGTAGACGGTGCTCTGAGCAGGACAGTGTGCTTGAGGCCGAGGTGGGCCTAGGTGGAGTCTGGTTCTGTGGCCCCAGTGTTGTGTTGGATGAAGTCTGGCCTGCCCCTGAGCTTCCGCCAGGGCTTGTTGGTGGTTGGAGGGCTAAGGTTTGTGTCATGCAAGCACAGTGTCAGTGGAGGAGGCTTGCGCCGTATCTGTGCCGAAGGTTGGGGCAGCCGTCTGTGGTGGGCATGAAGATGCTTCTGCACGGTGTGCTTGCTTTGGCCAGGTGGGGACCTTGCTGGGAAGTCCTTTCTCCTGGGACTCTCTTGTCCCAATGCCTCTGGAAGTCTTGGGTATGGCTTAGTGGATTGAGTACTGAACTGGAGTTGGACTGAGGGTTTAGTCCACGCCCCTCCTACCTTGCCCTACTCTGTGACTTTGAGCTCTCCCTTCCCCTTTCTGAGCCTGTTTTTTCATCACTTAAATGGGGTTAAGAACATCCTGCCTTGCCTACCTCGTAGGGTTGTTGTGATGATCCCAGGAGACAAGGTAGGTGAAAGATCTCTGAACTCCCCACAAGGACCTGCATCCTTGGGAGGTCCCATCCTTGCGCTTTGTAACAGTGTTAGGAAAGACACAGCTCACTGACACTCTGGTTTGGACCAGGCACCCCTGCAGTCCTTGGCTGGAATCTTCGGGTGCTTCTGCTGTCTCCATATGCCCTGAGGTCGTTGGTGGAGGGAGACTGCTGAGTAGCTGGGTGTTCTTGGTGCCCTGGAGCTGGGTCCCTCCCTGGGATTGCACACCTGGGGTTTGCCTTGAAGGCCACTGGATATAGATGTTTGTACCACCAGGAAATCTGCTGTGAAAGTGGAGAGGTGGAAATAAAAGTTGCTTAAGCGTCTGTCCTACTTTCTGACACGTCAGTTGAACCCTTTCTGGCAGGAGCTTCCCCTGGGGGGTGGGCAATGGGGTTGTGCGTGCAGGGAGTTATCAGGCTGTGGCTGACCATCTTAACTGTGGCTGCCCCAGCTCTAGAAAAAGCTGGTTTCTTATCTTGCTTCATCCTAACCTGGCTTTCTGACAGAATTCCCCCTGTCCCCCGACCGGCTCCTTACAAATAACTAAACCTGCAACATGCCATCAGCAGGCGTTTGGTCAAGTTTTCGAGCCTGAGGTTCTCCATCTGAGAACTGAGGTCAGAGACCAGAGGCTGGAAAACAGTGAGAGCAGAGAAGGATGTTAACGATGAAACTCAGAGCCTAGCTCAGATTGCCGAGTCGGGCAAGAACTGAACGGGAGACCCAGGGCCACGGCCCCTGGGGACCCAGCTCAGGAGGAAAGAAGAGCTGAGAGCAGCAGGGAACAGCAGGGAAAGTCGACCCAGTTAGGAGACAGCTGATGTGGCAGAGCCAACAACTGGCGTACATCAGGACTTGGGCAGCAGCCACAGACCACGTGACTGGACTGGGGGAGCTGGAAGAGTCAAACCAGAGCTCACCTTTGCTCAGAAAAGCCAAGACTAGATCTGGATCATAGGCTAAACAGCTCTGGGTCTCAGAGTCAGAATGGGAAGCCCCATCCCTCCAACAAGACGAAGAGGACTCTGGTCCCACCCTCCTACGCATACAGGAGGAAGAGAAAACAATTTTGGTCTTTATAAGAAGTGAAGGAGCGGGATTCTATCTCAGGACTCATTCATTGGCAGAAATAGGAGACGACTCCTGAGGAAATAAAAAGAAAAAGGAAGAGGATAAGGATACCAAAGACATCGAGACCTGGAATCAGAATGCAGAAAACTCTGGGTCATTCTTCTCCCTGCCCACCACCAAGGCTGTGATATAGGAAGAGGAGCACAAATAAATGAATGTGCTTATGTCCACAAGGGTTCAAGCAAAGGCTGATGTCAGCCAGATGGTCAGATGGTCGAGGTTGGATCAGGTACCCTCTGACACCCTTCAATCTCAGGCAGTCAACTACCTATAGATCCGCCAGTCTTTGCCACACAAATGACTCTTGCCCATGAAGAATAAGAAGGGAGGCAGGCAACCTGGCTGCTCTAGCCCCGCATTTGAAATAGATGACATCGTCTTTGTCCTAGAGACATACCAGGATGTGGGTCATACCATCTGTAGAGGAAGATTATTTGCAGTGGAAGGAGTTTTGATGCTAGAAAAAGCTTGTTTCTTCATTTTCAAATTGAGGAAATGAGTTGAGCTGAATAGTGGGAAGGAGAGAAGGACCTGGTAGATACACCATGATTTTCTTCTTTTTAAAAAGTTTCTGTAGCAAGGTCTTTGTATATATGCACACGTACTGGTATGAGAAAGAGGGATAGCTTATTGGAAACTTGCCTTTGACAGAGACAGCATTTGAACTCCAACATCATTGCTTAAAGGGGAGGAAGCCTTCTCCCCAGTCAGAGGTGAGCACGCAAGTTGTCACCGGTGCCAGTAATGGACACAGCCAGCCTGCCATTCCCCTGGACTGAGCTGATACACACCTACTTAGTGCCTCCCTCCAGCACAGCTCTGTTGGGCATGGTCCCAGCAGGGTTTGGACAAGAAGAAAGCAGTCCCTGACCCCTCTGTGTAAGTGGAATTTGTGAAAGGAGATTGCTTCTGGAGTGCAAATTGCAGCGCACCAAGCAAGAAAATGCCGTGGAGGAGCAGCAGTCTTTGGCTGTGAACTCTTCATCTCTGGAGTGCGGGGGAGGCTAGCTTGTTGGTTGTAGTGAAGTCACATGTGTGCTCACTGTCTTGACATCATTCTGGTGCCTGGATCAAACTGCCTCTCTGGTTCTTGGTTAATCAGTGGTGAATGGGCAGGTGAGTTCAGAATTCCCACTAAACGTTTCTGGCTTCAAAGATGTGTTCTCCGAAACTCAGCTTCCGTTTTATCCCAACACTTGGCTGCTGAGTTGCTCTGTGTTTAAATTCTGGGCTTTAAATGGCAGCTGTGGATCCACTCCTACTACCCTGCCATGTGGTTTTGCTATAGATAGTACAGTCTGCAGCTGGGGTAAAGTTAAGAGGACCTAGCCATGTGTTTCTCAGACTGTTTTTCAGGAAAACACAGCAGATTTTCATTGAGCATTTGCTGTGTTCCCCTGGTGTAGTTCTTTCCACAAGGAGTAAATATAATAATTCCCGGTGCTCCTTTCCTCCTTTCCCGTCCCCTTTAATCTCAGTGGACCTGCTCTGCTATACCATGGAGAGGGCTTCACACCACTTCCGAGGCTCCACGGCAATTAAAAATCAAAAACAAAACAAATCCCTTCTAAAATGGAGTTGTGATGTTCTTGGAAAGGCCTGGTATCTTATGCTGGTTGCCAGGGGCCACAGTACCAATCCCAGGGGGCAGGGCTAAGGTCCTCTTTCCTGTTAGCCTTGTCTACTCATTCCTGACTGCAGCCTCCCTCATAAGAATGTTTATATGGGACCCTCTTAAGCCAGTCTGTCCCCCGTGGTTGGCCCCAGGCAGACTACTTGGTCACAGCACAGGATAACTTGGCTCTACTAGGCAGGGCAGGACTCCAGAAACTGGACCAGGGGTCTATAGAGTAGCTGTATCAGGAAAGAAAGGAAAAGTCACTCAGTGCCCCTTTCCTCCGAAACCACCAACTGCTACTGTCAGGGGAGTGTGTGTTAAAGATTTTCACAGGTCAGCTCCTGTCTACTGGCTGCTTCCATTCTAACCCACCAATATGGCGGAAATACATAAGGGAAAATGGTGATAAATGAAACCTACCACCGAAATCCAAGGGATGTTTCTGCGGCCAGGGCCTACTAAAGAGTCTGCTCAGTGGTTAAGGACCACACGGTAGCACATGGTCCTGGGGTTGGAGTCCAGGCTCTGCCATCTAGTAGCTGTACATGTGACCACAAGTCACTTAACCTTACCAACCCTCTTGTTTTTTCATCTATGAAATAGGTATACCCATAATTCCCAGCTCATAGGGTGACTGGTGGAATTCTATAGAATAAAGCATGCAATGTGCTGGGCCCTGGCACACCATTATCACTTGCTAAAAGTGAACCTAATAAACTGTTCCAGCAGCATTTGAAAGGCCATGCCAAATCAGACTTGTGCAGACATCACACAGCACCCTGCAGCCTCTGACATGTTCAGAGTGGATCCCACTGTTATCCTATAACTGTAATTTTAAAGGGGAATAAAAGCACTTGAGAATGTGTCAACCAGATCTGGAGTAGATTAAAGGGCACTAGACACCAGGTGGACCTTATGCTAAAATGCTTCGGTTCCTGCTGAAAGCGCGTCCTGATCCTTGACCACTGTGGAGTTTGATGACACAACTTCCTGCAAAACCCAAGTCAATTTCCTTTGACTGGCCCACCTGGTTTCATGTCCTCAGACTTGTGGCTGGTGTGGAAGTTGGCCCAAGATCTACGCTTCCCAGCGTGAGCTATCGTATGGCTCGAACTGACCAGAACATCTGGGTTGGGCTGCTGCAGTTTTCAAGATGGCTGGATTGCCCCTCCTCCAAAATGAAGGCAAAGATTATCTCTTTTTCTTCCTTCAGTGAACCTGATGGATGCTCCAAACCCAAACCAAAAAGATGACCGTGAATAAGAGCTGACTGAGCCTCTTTAATGTAACTTGCTATTTTTGTTGTTCCTCAGAAGGTCTGAAGAATTACTAAATCCAGTTATTTGGAAAGTGAGAAAGTTAGCAAAATAGAACATGTCCTGCTAGATAGAAGGAAGGGGACTCCTGGAGGCATTCCTTTGGGATTTCATCTTGCCTCCATCTGGTTTGTTGTGCAGTTTGCCTTTACAAGTGTTAAGCAGGCGTTCTGCTGGCTGGAGTCCTGTGGCTGCCATTGAGCCTCATTGCTTTTCTGACTACATTTCTAGCCAGGGTCTCTGCAGCTGACCTGGGGCTGTGGGACATCTTCTCCAACCGCTCATTACTGAGGCACCAAGCAAGCCGAGGGGCATTTGGCCTCTGGCCCTGGCAGGAGCAGGATCTCAGGCCATCCCTCCAGGCAGCCAGCCTGGGTCCTACACCTCAGCCTTGCAGAGTGGGCTCTGCAGAGAAGCCGATTCGAGGACAGTGCCACCCGTCCTGAGCCAGGTGGCTCCTGTGGTTGCAACCGTTTTTGAACCAACAAGGGGGCCCCTTCTAGGTGCAGCTGACCTGGGAATGCTAGCCAAAGCGGCCAGAGGAGAGGCGTGGGGGAAGCAGAGAGGTACCTCTGTGCTGGCCGCGGGATCTCATCTCCTTTTGTCTTGTTTAGGTTTCTCCTCTGCCTCCTACTTAAAGGTCCATGTTAAAACCCACCACGGTGTTCCCCTTCCCCAGGTCTCCAGGCACCAGGAGCCCATCCCGAATGGGGGAGCAGCGTTCCACTGCGCCAGGACCTATGGCAACAAAGGCAAGCGACCCCTTGCTCTGCACTTTGCTTCTCTGCGCAGACTGTGTTGTGGGGGCGCTGGGCCGGGCGTGGGGAGGCGGGAAGGCTGCCGGCTTGCTGGCCGCCTCAAGGAGGCTCTGAGATCTGAGTGGCAGTGGCCTCCAGGACAAAAGTCACAAGTGGGTATCTCACTCCAGGGCAGTGAGTGAGGCTTTTAGGGCACTGCCAAGATCCAGCCCCCGCCTCCTCTTCCCCAGCCTTCCTCCCTTGCTCCTGGCCAGCCCCCACTGTCTGGAGCCCTGCAGGGATGCCCCGGGCCCAAGGCTGGAAGCAAGTCCTGCATGATGAGTCACTCTGGGCCTGTCCATTGCCTGTGGCCCTTTAAGGATGGTGTGGAGCTGCGGCTGAATGCTTTCTTTTTCTTTGACCCTGTGGGCAAGGGGGAGCCAAGGGCTGGCTTCCTCCTTGATAGGGGTGATTGGTTGCTGTGAGCGGCCCTTTCTGGCGGGCCTCTGGCTGCGTTTGTGAAATGCATGGCGATAAATGAGATATGTGACTGCCTCTGACTTGGAGTTGGTCTGCAGAGAGCTCCCTAGGGCCCACCTTCACGTGTTGATTCAGGTTGTTCTGTGGTATTTCTAGTTGTTGCCTTGGGGATGATGCCAGGGGCTTGGCAGACGGCAGAGATGGCAGAGATGGCATGCTCCACGCTCCCATCACAGACCTCCCTTCCCGGCATGGCTCTCTGAACTCAGGCAGGAAGCTTCTGATTGGTGGACTGCAGTGTGGGCAGGGCAAGGCAGAGCAATGAGGATTGTCTTGAGGCCCGGCTTGTCCTGAGCCCTGTGTGGGGACAGTCAGCTGACCGAGTTGTTCAAAGTTACTTTTTAATCTCTATGCTTTGGCCGCTGGGCCCTGGATGGGTTTTGGCAGAAGGAAGGCAATAAGGGCAGGGCTTGTGTTTGCAGCATTGGGAAAAGGATTGGCTTCTGTCTCAGCCATCAGTGGGGTCTGCCGGGTTGAGGACCTCACGGCTTTGGTTCTGCCTTGCTAGGGTGCAGCTAGTCTGGTGTGGAGGTGAGGCCATTGATATACCTGTTCAGCATCATCAGAACAGCCATCTTACCCCCAGGGGCAGCCAGCAAAGTGCCTAGGAACTGGGGGTCTTTGAGTTGTTCTGGGTGGAAGCAGTGGAGGCCCCTTCTCCGTACCCTCTTCCTTGAAGCAGGCTGAGATGGTGGTGAGCGATACACGTGCACCTGCATGAAGAGTCCGCGGCGAGGGAGGCTGGCAGCCCCAGGGCCCTGCTGTCTCACGCCCATAGGCACACCAGGCTCCCAGACTGACCAGCTGAACCTCCGTGGGTTCTGCCAGGGCAGTGGCTGGCCATCCACTGCCCTCCACAGGCCTATGAGCTGGCCTTTCCCGACCCCTCCAGGAGGGGGCATCTCCAAAGCCTGGCCTCATCTCTCCTGTGTGTTTTGTTTTCTCCTAGAAGGCCAGAAATGCTCACATCAGGATCCGATTGAGAGCTCTGACTCCTACGGTGACCTCTCGGACGCCAGTGACCTGAAGACGCCTGAGAAACAGAGCACCAATGGCTCCTTCTCCTGCGACATGGCAGTCCCCAAAAACAAAATGGAGTCTGACGGGGAGAAGAAGTACCCCTGCCCTGAATGCGGGAGCTTCTTCCGCTCCAAGTCCTACTTGAACAAACACATCCAGAAGGTGCATGTCCGGGCGCTTGGGGGCCCCCTGGGGGACCTGGGCCCTGCCCTCGGCTCACCTTTTTCTCCCCAGCAGAACATGTCTCTCCTCGAGTCCTTTGGGTTTCAGATTGTTCAGTCAGCGTTTGCATCATCTTTAGTAGATCCTGAGGTTGACCAGCAGCCCATGGGGCCTGAGGGGAAGTGAGGCAGATGCTGTGTCCCCACGGAAATGGCCACCGGGGACCGCTGAGAAATGCTGTGAATGCGGAGGGAAGTAATGTCTTTGGGTTCTGTAGCTGAGAGATTTTTATTCGTTTTTAACTCCCCCTTCCCCCCACCCTGTCACCCCCCCACCCGCTCCCTCTCCACCACCCATCCCTTCAGTGGTCTTTAGAAATAGATTCTCATCTGATACTCTGCAGAAATATCTGCAAGACCTGGTATGGGACAAGGGCAGAAAACACTACATAGGCCTCCAAGGCCACACCAGTCCCGGTTTCTCTAATGGGTGGAAGCTGGAATTCCTGGTGCCCAATTCTTAGTGATCCCAATCCCAAACCCACACGTGACGGCATTCAGGGACCTCAGTGATTTGGGTCCCCTCCCCCTTCTCATATCCCTTAAGAGAAACCACATCAGGGTCTCCACCCACTTACACAGTGCTGATGCCCAACTATTTTCAAGAAAGCTGGAAGCCTACAGCATCCCATGGACCATGGGGTGAGTGCCCTCTGAGAGCCCCTGAGCTTAACCCTTGACTTGGAGGGCCTCAGACCTTTCTGAGCCCTACCTAGAGGCTAGCATTTCGCTACTAGGACAAGCTGGGCTATTGAGGACACCCCCACCCCAAATTCCAGTTCTTATGTGATTTTAACCATTCAACTTGCTGTTGGGTTTTAATTCTCTAATTATTATTATTATTGTTATTTTTTAGGACCAGTTGTAGTGAATTGCTACTGAAAGCTATCCCAGGTGATACAGAGCTCTTTGTAAACCGCAGTCACACGTTAGGGTTAGTATTAAACTTTGTTTAGATGTACCATAATTAACTTGGCTAGTTGATTGTTTGAAGTCTATGGAAGAAATAGTTTTATGCAAAATTTTAAAAATGCCAGTCTGGTCAGGGAAGTAGCGGGTTTCAGTGTTGTTGGTAGCCAGGAAGGCAGGAGAGCTGGCAGGTGGGGACATTGTTGTGTACCTCGGCTGTGTCACGTGTGAGCAGGCCCAGGGTGACCTGGTGCTGTGAATTGATCTGATCAGACTGTATTAAAAACGTTAGTACGTTACTCTGCCTGCTCCCCTGAGTCCAGTTTTTCAGCTAAGGGTGCGGGTGGGGGTCTTTGGGATGCAAAGGGAGGGCACCTGGGGGAGAGGTGGGATCTCAGGAGACCTCTCTTCCTCCTCATTGCACCAGCTGCAGCTACACTGGGATTGATAGGTGGATGTTCCCACTGAGGACTCTGCTGCCGGCATTCACCCATTTGTTCAACAGATACTCACTCCTTGTTGTCTGCACTGCTGTGTGCCAGGCTCAGCCTCAGACCCTGGGGGCATGGTGGTGAGCAGGACACCCTTGTGGAACTTACTGGGAAAGAGACAGTTAACAAATAAGCAGAGCTAACCATGAGTTCAGGTAACAAGACGTCCAGGGAGAAAAACTGGGCAAGGTAGGGATAGTAACAGTGGGAGGGTAGGTAGGTTGGTCCAGGATGGTGAGGGCCTGGGGGTGGAGCTCTGGGAGAGAAGACCTGGAGTTCAAGGGGACCCAACATAATGACTAGCTAGGACCTAAGAAGGGACATGGGCAGGGAGAGGGTTCTCATGGCCAAAGGGCTCTAAGAAGTTCAGCAACGTGAAACAGCCCCCAACCCTGTGTTACCTACAGGGTTAGGTAAAAGGTTGTTGCACCCTTTGTGGTGAATGTATCAAGACAAGGGGGAGGGGCACCGGGGTGGCTCAGTCAGTTAAGCATGGACTCTTGGTTTTGGCTCAGGTCATGATCTCGCAATTTGTGGGTTCAAGCCCCACATCAGGCTCTGTGCTGACAGTGTGGAGCCTGCTTGGAATTCTCTCTCTCTCTCTCTCTCTCTCTCTCTCTCTCTGACCCTCCCTTGTTTGTGTTCTCTCTCACAAAATAAATAAATAAATTAATTTAAAATAAAAGAAGGGGGAAAGACAACAGCAAACAAGAGGCAAGAAGTGAGCACAGTGAAGAATTAATGGGAGCAAGAATTTTAGTGAGAGGGTATGGCAGATTTAAATCAGCCTGGGCATCTTGAGAAACCTTGAGAAAGAGGGAAACCCCTAAACTAAAAGAAACAGCATTTAACCTCCAAACAAGTAGAAAAAAAATGATAAAGGAGAGAAAAATAAACATAGACCAGGAAGAATAAACAAAGCACAAAATTATTTAGACCCACATTAATATTAATTACGATGCTCTGGTTTAAAGGCAAAGGCTCTGAGCTGGATTTTTTAAAAAACCTCTAAGCCATCTACATGAAATCTTGGGAAAGTTGCTGGGTTCTGTGGAGTGTGTGGGATGGAGGCTTGGGCCATTTGGTGTCAGTATCAGAGGAAAGGGCAACTTTGAAATGCTGAGGCCCTGTTCATGTGGCCTTGTGACCACAAGATCTGCCAGCTGGTGGCACCCTCCAGGTGTCAAGGCAGAGAATCTGGCCTTGAGCTAAAGACATCATTGGCCCTGTTCCCCCAAACCCCCCACCCCCACCGCAAAACCCCTACATGTCCATGGACAGGGAGGGACCACAGTTAGGAAGCAGTATCTGTGCATGGCAGGAGGGGGACGACAAAGCAAGCAGGCTGCTTCTTCCAAAGCACTACTCACCTGGAGGCCTGAGCAGCAAGAGGAGGTACCCTTGCCTGCCTCCCAACCTCTGCATCTCCTCTGTACACCTGTGCCCTTCAGGCCAGAGGGAGGAAAGCTGTGCAGAACATGGGTGCGTAAAGGTGGAATTACTTTGCCATGGTTAAGGGTAAAGAGCCTGAGCTTTGGGGGTGCCTGGGTGGCTCAGTCGGTCAAGCATCTGACTCTTGATTTAGGCTCAGGTCATGATCTCAACAGTTCTTGAGTTCGAGCCCCACGTGCTTGGGATTCTCTCCCTTTCTCTCTGCCCCTCCCCTACTTTTTCTCTTTCTCAAAAATAAATGAATAAACATTAAAAAAAAAAACACAAAAAAACACCTGAGCTTTGGCTGTACAGATCCACCATCTGCTTGCTGTCAACCCTGGGCAAATCTTTGAGTCTCAATTTCCTCATCAGATAAACAGGCATGAAGAGTAAGGGAGACCATCATGAGCTAACATTTTCTGTGCTTAATTCTCAGCACAACCTGTAAAGTTGGTTCCATTACCATCCCCCTCCTGCAGGCCAGCAAACAGGCTCAGAGAGGTAGAGGCATCCCACCCACCCCTGTCACATAGTGTCAGAGCCAGCATACAAACTCAGTTCTGACCTCTGACTCCAGAACTTTCATTCCCAAGCTCCAGCAACAGTGCCTTTACACACATGTAAATGTCCACTACCGTGCTCAGCACAGAGCAGGCCCTTACTCTGCCAGGGCCCTGGGACAAGGGCTTGCACAGTGCAGCACGAAAAAGCCACGGAGGAAGCCAGGGTTAGTGCTGGAAAGAGTGCACAGAGACCCTATTGGGTAAGCACTCTTCATGCTTAGGTAACCCTCTCAGGTGACTTGCATCCCACTCCCAAGTCACTTGCTCCAGGCAGAGCTGCCACACTAGAAGCCTGTCCAGCCACTGCCTGATGGCCTGGGCAAAGACTTGGCCTCACTTCCCCACAGCAGTGATCACCCATCTCTGCCGCTGGCATAGGCGAGGGAAGCCCTGTGGCACCAAGGAACCCCTGGTACATAGGGCTACTGAGAAATCTGTCCACTGATAGCCAAAAGTGGGACCTGGAGGCCTGTTGCATTTGGGGCTATGGCTAGTCTCCGGACATACTTTCTGAGACACTTATAATTCTGGCAATTCTCCAAGCCTTGGCTTCCTTATCTGTAAAATGGGGGTGTCAGGACTGACTTGGGAGGGTTGTAGTGAGGATTAATAATGTATACCAGGTGCTGGGCACAAAGCCAGGCTCCTGATGGGTGACAGTGAACTTTAAGCCCTTCCCTGACTCTCTCTGTTCCTTTGTCCCTCTAGAGCCTTGGGGGGGGGATCCCCAAAACTAACTCTCCACTACAACTTGCCTCGTATGTATTTCCCTGGCTCCCATCCCACATTTTTTACTTGATATGCCCCAAGCACAAGTCCCCACTTGTGCTTTCATTTTTCATGTATCAGGCCTTTGTTTATGCCAACCTTCAACACATCCAGTTTCTGACAACAATAACCTCAATAATAACAGCACATGTTGTGTTTACTGAGTGCCAGGTGCCCTTCTAAACACCTCACACACATTGCTTCAGTCTGTCCTTACAGCTGCCCAAAGAGGTAGACACTATTTTTACAGTTAAGCAACTTGCCCCAAACACACAGCTTTAAGAGGTACACTGAGAACCTGAACGTAGGCCCAGACTGTTTCTTCACGACTACCCTGCACCGGAAGTGTCATGGCTTGACCCCAGCTGTCCCATCCAACTGGAGCTTCCCACTCTGCTCCTTACATTTTCAGTGTGCACCATTCATTGCCAGCCCTGGGCCTTCACCCATGGAACACCCTCCACCTGGGAGGCTCTCCCTCCATGGCTCTGGGCATCTGAATCTCACCCTCCTGGGTCTTCACCACGGTGCCCTGGTTCACAGTGGTCTCTGGGGATAGCCAGCTGGGTGCAGAGCCCAGCGCCACCACTTTCTAACTGGGTGACTTCTGGCAGGTGTGTCTCCTCTTCCTCATGTGGAAAACAAGGATAGCAAACAGTTCCTGTTCACGAGGCTGCTGCGAGGATTTCATGGACTGATCCATTATGAGCACATTAGGAAACACAAAGCTCCCTTTTAGTTTACCTGCACTATCTCCTTCTCCAGGCTACGCTCTCAAAATAATGAACACAGGCAAACTTTTTCTGTAAAGAGCCAGAGGGTAAACATTTTCATCTTTGTGGGCCATATGGTTTCTGTCACAGCTACTCAACTCTGCCATTGTGTAAGAGCAGCCAGGCACAGACAATACATAAATGGATGGTCATGGCTGGGCTCCAACAGAACTTCACTGATGGACACTG